TTTGATATGGTCTCGCATGATATTCTTATCAATAAACTAGGCAAATACAATAGATGGGGCTACTATAAGGTGGGTGCATAACTGGCTGGATAACCATACTCAGAGAGTTGTTATTAATGGTTCCCAATCCTGCTGGAAAGGCATAACGAGTGGGGTTCCATAGGGGTCTGTTTTGGGACCGGCTCTGTTCAATATCTTCATTAACGACTTAGATATTGGCATAGAAAGTACGCTTATTAAGTTTGCGGATGATATCAAACTGGGAGGGATTGCAACTGCTTTGGAGGACAGGGTCATAATTCAAAATGATCTAGCCAAATTGGAGAAATGGTCTGAGTTAAACAGGTTGAAGTTTAACAAAGACAAATGCAAAGTGCTCCACTTAGGAAGGAAAAATCAGTTTCACACATACAGAATGGGAAGAGACTGTCTAGGAAGGAGTACGGCAGAAAGGGATCTAGGGGTTATAGTGGACCAGAAGCTAAATATGAATCAACAGTGTGATGCTGTTGCAAAAAAAGCAAACACGATTCTGGGATGTATTAACAGGTGTGTTGTGAGCAAGACACGAGAAGTCATTCTTCTGCTCTACTCTGCTCTGGTTAGGCCTCAGCTGGAGTATTGTGTCCAGTTCTGGGCACCGCATTTCAAGAAAGATGTGGCGAAATTGGAAAGGGTCCAGAAAAGAGCAACAAGAATGATTAAAGGTCTTGAGAACATGACCTATGAAGGAAGGCTGAAATAATTGGGTTTGTTTAGTTTGGAAAAGAGAAGACTGAGAGGGGACATGATAGCAGTTTTCAGGTATCTAAAAGGTGTCATAAGGAGGAGGGAGAAAACTTGTTCACCTTAGCCTCGAAGGATAAAACAAGAAGCAATGGGCTTAAACTGCAGCAAGGGAGGTCTAGGTTGGACATTAGGAAAAAGTTCCTAACTGTCAGGGTGGTTAAACACTGGAATAAATTGCCTAAGGAGGTTGTGGAATCTCCATCTCTGGAGATATTTAAGAGTAGGTTAGATAAATGTCTATCAGGGATGGTCTAGACAGTATTTGGTCCTGCCATGCGGGCAGGGGACTGGACTCGATGACCTCTCGAGGTCCCTTCCAGTCCTAGAATCTATGAATCTAATCTGTCAAGCACCTCCTGATATAGTAAGTAGCCATGAAATGCAGTTAATAATCACAAGAACTTCCCTTTCTGGAATGAAAACTGCCATCTACTGTTTTAGAGCCTTAAAATCCCATCGGTCCAACTGGAAATTTCTTGCATTTGAGGGTGGATTGTAACATACAACAGTGAGTACTGGTTTTAAAAAAAACAAACAAAAAGCCATTTTCCTGGAAGGCAGCTGCAATTTTCTTCCCTCCCTTCTGTCCATCAGTTTTTTTACTCTATTCATGAGGAGTACTAGCTTCTTCTGCTTTGTAATTGTGAAAAGATTGGCACCAAAAGGGGGCTTTTACATTGTGCTCTGAACATAGTTAGGTTTGGGCTCCTCTGGTCCTTTGTATAAGTGAGTTCTATAGTGTGTCTGGCTCCCCAAACGAAACTAATGAGCCATTCTCTAGCAGCAATAAGCCACACCAGGGAGTTCATTAGGAAGCTGTCCTGGTGTACGTCCCTAATGAGTGAAGTCACTTGTCCTTCAGCATTATGCTGCACAATACACTTGGGGCTTGTACCAACAGCTTATTAATGCACACCCTTTCTTGCTTATTGCTCTACTGATATTAGTCAGCAGTTGTCAAGGTAGAGAGGTGCTGCCAGGGAGAGGGCATAAATAGGGCAGCCAGGGTGTGTGCTGATTCTTTGCACTTCTTCTGTAACGTACACTGGACGAGTCCTGTTGGAAATTAAAGCAGAAACCCCAATGGAGGCAAGTGGCCAACCCATGCCATCCTTTGGGTGAACCCTCCTCCCCCCACTGCGTTGAAGTAGATCAGGCTGGCACAGGAAAGTGTTATTCACATTTCCCTATGCCAGCAAGAGTGCAACAGGCCCCTAACCTGTAATCACTGTAGTCTGACCTTAACATGGTGATGTTTCTCCAGGGAGTAGAAATTAAATTAAATTAAAACTAAAATCGTAGCTTTTAGCTCACCTGCAATATTACAGAAATTGATATTAATGATGTACAACCTGGTCCTGTGAGATGCTGCTAACCATCTGTAAATGCTATTGCCTTCACGGGATTTGAATTGGGAGAGTTTAGTATCTCACCACATCAAGCCCCAAAACAGCAGCTGGCTATGTCCTGGGCTAGGTAGCTATCTTGGAATCTGAGTAGATTGTTCCGTTAGCTTTAGGAAACACGGATTTTTATTCTCCTAATGGTAGACCCAAGTTTGTGTCCGAATAAGTTTGCAAGGAAGCAGGCAGTTCAGTAATTCAGTTACTCACCTGGAGCTACGGGAATATTGAATGTTTTCTGGGGTGCTACTGCAGAGGCTGGACATGTTTTTGTATAATAAATTGTGCAAATTTGTGCTTTCTTGTGAGCTTGGGTTCCATCATTGTGACCTCTATAATCATCTTAATTGGTAAGGTCTCTTCAAGTGAAGGCAGTGATACTGGTTTGCCACAAATGTGTTCATAACTTGGCACCAGCATATTCAGATTGACCTTTATCCATAGCAGACTGCAAACATTTCCTTCACTCAATGAAGAATGATTTTTAAGAGCTAAAACTGAACAAGGGAAGCAGGCTTTTGCAGCAACTGCTCCGATCAGGTGAGATAAGATACCTGGCTCCTAAAACAAATATTTGTATCTTGTTTTAAGACATTTTTGAGCTTTTCTCTTAGGAAGCCTTACCACCATAAAAAGAAGTGAAATTGTACCTGTTCAATGCTGTCTGCTAGTTGAGACTGAGTAGCCTACCTTGTACTTTTGCAAGCTATTATAATGACTTGTTCCCATGGCCTCTCATGAAAATTATTAATTATTATTATTTATTTGTATTACTGTAATGCCTAGGAGCCCTAGTCAGGGCCCGGCCCCCTTTGGATTAGGTGCTGTACAAACACAGATGCAGAACAAAAAGATGGTCCCTAACCCAAAGAGCTTACAATCTATGTAGGGTGACCAGATGTCTCAATATCATTGGGACCGTCCCAATATTTGCCTTATATATGCAAATCTCTCCCCCCCCCCCGAAACGTGTCCCGATTTTTCACACTTGCTATCTGGTCACTCTAAATCTATTTATAAGACAAGAAGCAACAAATGGATACAGACAGATGGGGTGGAACAAAGAAGCAATGAGACAATGCTGGGCAGCATGCTAGGCTGTGGCCTCAGTGTACCATCTGTCTAACCATTATCAAATTTTTTGTAGGCATCACAGAAAAGTTCAGTTTTAAGGAGGGACTTGAAAGAGGATAATGAGGTAGCTGTACGGATGTTTACCGGGAGCTCTTCTCAAGCGTGAGGGATAGCACAGGGGAAAGCACAAATGTACTTGTTTGAAAATTTAACAAGCGGGTGATGGGGACTAGCATCAATGGCCAATTGGAGGTGAAAATTGACATTTCAGTAGAGAATGAGAGATGATAGGTAGGGTGGGGATAGGCCTGTGAAGGGCCTTGAAAGTGAAGACTAACAACTGATTGTAATGGGTTCCCCCCCTTTGGGGTGATGCCTGGAACTGGGGTACAGTGAGCCCACCTGATCCACCAGCCTGGGCTCCCTTTCATCCTGTAATGCTGTGACAAGCTGCAGACAGGCTCCCGGTCTCATACTTTCACAGGTAGGGACACATCCAGCTGCAGAAACACACAGACACTGAAATCAGCTCTGCATGGGAAGGCTCAGCTAAGGAATAGCCCAGGTCTCAAGTGCACCCTCCCTCCCAAAGGGTAAACCCAAAATTGTACCATCTTGTGCTGCCCAGAGAACAGTACAGCGTAAGCTCATGAAATTTGCTCCCTCCTTCAATGTGGAGAGGGATATACACAGCTTTCTGCCCCAAGTTATGATTCCCACATTGTTTAGACAAAACAAAAACAAGTTAACTACAAAAGATAGATTTTAAGTGATTATAAGGGATGGCAAACAGCTCAAAGCAGATTACCAAGCAAATAAAACAAAAACACAATCTAAGCTTAATGTACTAAAAAATTGGATATGTGCAGCAAATTCTCACCCTAAATGATGTTTTAGGCAGATTGCAGAGATTCTTGAAGGCAAGCTGCACTTGCTTACAGCTTATAACTCCAGTTATTCCTTTCACAGGCTAGAAATCCCTCTAGCCTGGGTTCAACCTTTCTCCCCCAGCTCAGTCTTTTTGTTTCTCAGGCGTTTCCAGCAGCCTTCTTTCTTGGGCGGGGAATCAGTGAAGAATGAACCATGATGATGTCATTCCCCTGCCTTAAATAGTTTTTGCTTATGGTGGGAATCCTTTGTCTCCCAGTTTGATTCCCACACCTGGGCAGTGGAAAAAACACTAATGTTATCATGGAGTCCAGGACCAGATGACTTGGTCACATGGCCCTGTAGGGCCACCGCAGCCATGACTCAGAGGCTGTTTGCAGTGTCCCCAGGAAGGCTCCTCAGTGGGTGATTAGCATCTTCCAAGACCTATTTTCTCCCAAATGGCCCTTCCCAGCTAGCCATCTAGACTGATTGCATTCTGTCTAGTGGGCATTCCCCAGGCGGAAACACATTTGTAATAGATGCATAGACAATATTCATAATTTCAGATACAAAAATGATACATGCATACAAATAGGATAACCACACTGAGTAAATCATAACCCTTTTAATGATATGTCACATGCCTTTGCTTGCACAAAATGCATCATAATTATGCCATAATCATGTCATAATAATATTACTATGAAGAATATGGGGCGTAATGCCACACTTATGTTTGATACAATAGAATGATATTTGCAGGAGCATTCTGAATGGATGTGTGTGTGGTGGGGGGGGTGTGTGTGATTGCATTTATCAGGGCCAGAGAAAAGGATTTTATTTATTTATTTGTTTGCATAAAGATACAAGATGATGAGAGCCTGGGTGAGAGTTTTAGTTATATGGATGGATAAGAGAGGCTGTAACTTGGAGATGTTATGCAGAAAGAATTTGCAAGATGTGAGGCCATAAGGAGAGCTCCAAGTTGAAGATAATACCCAGGTTATAGGCATGAGTGGCAGGCAGGATGGTGGTATAGTCCACAATGATCAAGAAAGGAGGGTGAGAGAGCTTGGGGTGGGGAGAAGATGAAGAGCTCTGTTTTAGCATGAGCTGATGGCTAGATATCAGAGACAGGTTGACAATAAAAGATGTATTTCAACTCATTGAGAAAAAGTTTAAGTAAAATAGATAAGTAATTTAGTGACCAGAGCCTAAAGACTAAGATTTGTGTTAGAGGAAATACAAGAAGTTTCCAAAATACAATTGAATCGTATTCCTCAAGTCCACCTACTTTGCCTGCCATTCTTTCATTGTTGTAAGGAGCATTGAACCAATTGTTTAGTTAATCAAAGCAGACATGTAATATTATGATATTCATACCATATACTCTTAATGATCTTTTTAGGATAGGGAATGGGTCAAAACAGAGTAGATTGATGCATGCTTTGTCAAATCAAAGCTTTAATGCAGGACTATCCAGAATTATAATAGTACAGTAAAAAGCAACAGAGAGTCCTGTGGCACCTTTAAGACTAACAGATGTATTGGAGCATAAGCTTTCGTGGGTGAATACCCACTTCGTCAGACACATGCATATTCACCCACGAAAGCTTATGCTCCAATACATCTGTT